CCTGTACTGTAACAGCGTCCACCAGCACTCGGTTCCCACCCGGGCTCAACCCGTCCACACACGCCGCCCGGGAAAGCCACCGGTGACTGTCGGCGTTGGGAGGGTGGCTCCAATAAAGGGTTTCGGCCGCATTCGGGGAACGCTGTGTTTTGTGTGTGTCCACAGGTGGGTGCATGTGCTGATAAGCTCCAGAAATAGATGTCCATGCCCTGAGAAACAAGTGGGGCAAGTCGCGTGGCCCTACTCTCGGCCAAATCCAAGAACCAGACAGGGTTTGGTTTCTCGAGACTGTTCCTGTTTGCGGGCTATCTGCGCCCCCACCTTCTTTGGGACGCTATTTCCCACTGACTTCTGTTGCCCCTGGGCCAGCCAGTGGTCACCAACAGGAGAAAGTGGCCCTTGGGCTGCAAGGGGAGTGACCCTCCCTGGGCACCACTGAGGGCAGGGCCTGGGCTCAAACGAGTCCCCAGGCGCCTGGCATTGCCACTTGGCAGGTGTACTCCTTCAGCCCTAACAGGTGTGATGAGGGCATAAGGGCCAATGTGTGCACCTGTGGGCTCACTAGGGAAATAAGAAGCAGTAGAAAGGGCAAGTCCCACCTCCTCCCACCTACCCCCACTGCAAAAAAAAAAAAAAAAAGGCAATTTTACATTCTTTAGGGATGCTTTTCCCAAATGTGTTATCCAGAACTTTATACTAAAAAAGAGGGGAGTGGCTTATGTGGTTAAATTTGTTTGGAAAATGCTATATCTTTCTCTCAGAGATGTTTTATAGACATTAGTACATTAAAGGCTCTGACAAGTCCTGCAGTTTGGGTCTGTATCTCCCAAACCTATTTGACCTTTTTTTTTTCATGCAACAGCCACTTAAGTAAAATCAAGGTTCTACAGCACTCTTCAGGTTTTCAGGGGCATGCCCGCACTGGTGCCTGGCCATGAGCCCAAGGGGTCCTGGAGGGCAATGTGGTGGAGTGGACCACACATGGATTGGGAGGCAGGGCACAGGCAGCCTTGGTTCTCCTCCTGCCTCTCCTTCTAGTTGGCTTTTCTGGCCTCAATTTTATCATCCATAAAATGATCTCTAATGTTCATTTCACCTCTAAAATTTTACCTACTTTTGTTTTCCCTAGTGTCTTATTATGCAATTTTTAAACCCAAAGGAAAGTTGAAAGTGTTTGTCGTGAAGACCTATACACCCACCATTGGGCTCTAGAATCTACGTTTTACTGCTCCTGCTTTGTCACATCTCTATCCACCCAGCAAGCTCACCTTTCTCCATGCGTTTTTAAATAAGCTGCAGGTAGCAGTGTATTTCCTCCGGAACACTTCCTCATTCATCCCTTAGTTTTTTTCAGATGAGAAAGTTACAGCCCAGAGAGGTCAGCAGCTCTTGGCTCTGCCCGGGGGCTCCTCACATCCGCCAGGGGACTCAGTGAGCCCAGGCTCCTCCTGCCGGGAAGGCATAAAGCCAATGTTCCTTACATCCTCCTGGAAGGGCCTGCCCTTTCAAACAGCCCTTGAGATCATCAGGCCATCAGTTTCAGACTTGGAATCTTGGGTCATGCAGAGACTTCCCACCACTGTGGCATTTGCTGTAACCTGATTTGACCATGACTCCAATTTTTCAAGCTCGCTCTCTTTCTCTAGGGCAGACTATGGCAGGTGCTCCATTACCCATGGAGTTCAAAGAACCAGAGAAAGGACACATTTAGATGCATGCATGTCTGAGGAGTTCTGTTCCTTCCAGAAATCCCCTTGAACAGCACACTGAGGGTGTAACGAGAACGGGCCAGTGGAGGAGGTGGGGTTCTCAGACGCTACATCCAATCGCCAGGGACTCTTGTTCAAGATGCAGGTTCGGGCCCCGGCTGCACAGTGTGATTCAGCAGGGGAGCCCAGGAATGAACACAAACCCATCTGGGATTCTGCAGGTGGCCCCCCATCCCACTTGGAGAAATATGTGTTAGAGTCCCTTCAGGTGACAACCAAGAATCCCATTATCTCCAGAGTATGACTGTGGCACACAGTGGGTGTGACTATCATACAAGAGGCTTGTTCCTGGGTCTTAGAGCATCTTCTGACAGAACTCTGACACATGAGAGTACAATGGGACCAGGTCCCCTCCTCCCATCGCTCCCCTCCCCCAACAGCCCCGATGCACCTCTGTCATAATCAGGCAGATAACTCCACAGCCCCACAAGGAAACTCAAGTCTGCAAGCCACCAGACATGGTCACTGTTCTCAGGAGGGAGAAAAAAGGCAAAGCAGTGTATAAAAAAAAAAAGACGTTTATTAGGTGCACCTTTTATAAAGCAGCTAATGAAGCAGACATCTCATTATTGGCCACATCATTCACCAACTGGCAGAGCACACGAGGGGACCACAGGAGTCACCACCAAATCGAGGAATTCACATTTTGCATTTAGTGGCGTTTCATTGCAATCAAATACAAAAGGGCAAGCGCTTTGAGACCAGGATCTTGGTAAAAGGGAGCCTCCTGCCAGCACAACACACAGACCCACCCCAAAAAGAGACCCAAGTGTGGGACAGACTTTCTTTCCAGGGCCTAAAAGTAAGGCTCAGAGTCTTCAAGTGTTCATTTTTCACTTTTGACCATTAGCACAATGAAAGATTCCAGAAGAAAATCTGCATATTACAATTGGCTGGCACCTTGGGCTATTTGTTAGGCTTATGAACGGGTCCCAAACTGGGACCAGATGGACTGCAGACCTCAGGCACATGGTCAGGGGACGGAACACAGAAACGACTGAGCTCGAGGCAGCGTTCTGGACCCCGCACTCCTTCTTCCACGCTTTGGGCGGAGAAAGACTAAGAGACAGTGAAAATATTCTCCAGAACAAGAGGAGAGGGGAGGGGCTGCTGAAATCAAATGTCACTGCTTTGCTATAAAACGCAGATTCCTGCACCATAGTGAGACCCAAGGCCCATCCAGAGCTTTCACAGGGAGAGAATGAGGAAAGCGTCTTAGTGGGTTCTGGTGCCCAAGCGCCTTGCAGCTCCAGGGTTCTCGGGAAGTTGTGCCCCCGGTCAGAAAAAGCTACTGTGAGTCGCTGCCTCCTTGATCCCCAGTGGCCTCTGCTGGCTGCTCGGATGGCAACTCCCCTGGGAACAGCAGAGCCCGGGGCATCTCTGGCTGGTGAACAGAGCGGCTCAAGTGCCAGCAGACTCCATCATCTCTGTTTGCACCCAGAGGGTCCCAGCAGTCCTGTACGTGGGCACTGGGACCCCAACCCAGCACCCCGTCAGCTTCCCAAAGAGCAAGGACTGGCTGGTGTTGACAGGCTAAGTGCACATCACAGCGACACTGCAATGCCTCTGGGTGCAACTATGACACTGTGCTCAGTCTCCAGTTAGCACTGGAGATCTTGTGCTAAACGTGATGACTTTGAACACTGGCATTTCAGTGCCTGTCTCTCTTCTCCCTAAACACCTACCCGCTCCTAGCTCATTCTACTGTGCGCATGCGTGTGTGTATGTGTGTGTGTGTGCCCGCACACGTGTGTGTATCATGCAGTGTGGAGGGAGAAGAGGAAAGTGTGTATGGAGAGAGCGGATCAGTGGCTTTGGGAAGTGCTCTTGCTGTATCCCAGTGAGTCCAAAAATATGTGTGAAAATAAAAAAGTGCCCCAGAGTGCCATCGAGCTGGCCAGTACCAGTCGGAAAACCTCTGATCTATGATGTCCCGTATTTAACGGCTAAAGGGATTTCCTGGACACGGTCATGTGCTACCTCAAGGCTGACAGGACAGTGGAGAACATGTTTATCAGGTAAGTAAAACCTTTGAGACCCTTGGTGGATTGCTCTTCTAAATAAAACACAACAGTCTGCGGCCACAAGACATCCCTTGACCTTTACTGGACCACAATGGGTGTATGATCACTGGTGGTACTTCTAGCCACACTGGAAACACCATCTCTTGCAGAAAAACTGAGTAAGAAAATCATGGGATTCCTCTGAAATGGTGGGTCACCTAGGGAAACACAGCTCTGGAAGGGAGAAGATGCCGAGGAATTCATCCTTCAAGCTGGCCGCCTCTGAATTCAGCTGGTAAACATTTTTTAGTTTTTAAAGTATTCAATTTAGTGGTTGTTAGCATATTCTCAAAATCATGCACCATCATCACTTATTTCAGAAAATTTTCATCACCCAAAAAGGAAACGCCGTATCTGTTAGCAGTCACTCCACATTCACCCCAGCCTCCCGCCCCTGGAAACCACTATTCTATAATCTGTCTCTACAGATTTGCCCATTCTGGACATTTTCTATGAACAGAATCATATCATCTGTGGCTTTTTGCAATGGATTCTTTCACTTAGCGTAATGTTTTCAAGGTTCATCCATGCTGTAGCATGAATCAGTTCTTTACTTCTTTTTATAGCTAGATAATACGCCACTGTATAGATTTACCACATTTTCTTTATCCGTTCATCAGTTGATAGACATTTGGGTTATTTCCATTTTTTGGCTATTATAAATTATGGTGCCGTGAACATTTATGGACGAGTTTTTGTGCATATGTGCACTTTCACTTCTCTTGAGTAAATACTTAGGAGTGGCATTTCTGGCTCATACAGTAATTCTATGTTTAACTTTTTGAGAAACTGCCAGACTATTTTCCAAAGTGGCTGCACCATTTTGCATTCCCACAAGCAAGGTACGAGAGTTCTAATTTCTCTACATCTGTGCCAACACCTGTTATTGCCCGTCTTTGTGATTATAGCCATCTTAGTGGGTGTGATGTGCTATTTCACTGTGGTTCTGATTTGCATTTCCCGAACAAATAATAATGCTGAGCATCTTTTCATGTGTTTATGAGCCATTTGTATATCTTCTTTGGAGAAGATATAAAAAATTGCCTATTCAAATATTTTGCCCATTTTTTAAATTGGGTTGTCTCATTATGAAGTTGTAAGAGTTCTTGATATATTCTGGATACAAGTATATGATTTGCAAATATTTTCTTCCATTCTGTGAGTTGTCTTTTCACTTTCTGGATAATGTCCTTTGACGCACAAAAGTTTTCATCTTTGATGAGGTCTAAGTGTATCTATTTTTCCTTTGCTTATGCTTTTGGGTGTTCTATCTAAGAAACCACGACCTACCCCAAGGTCATGAAGGGTTACACCCGTGTTTCCTTTGAAGAGTTTTATAGTTTTAGTGCTTACGTTTAGGTCTGATGCATTTTGAGTTAATTTTTGTATCCAGTGTGACGTAGGGATCTAACTTCGTTCTTTCGCATGTGGAAATCCAGTTGTCCCAGCACCACAACTTGAAAAGACTATTCTTCCCTATTGAATTCTCTCGTCACACTTCTCAAAAAGCAACTGGTCATAAATGTAAGAGTTTATGTCCGTACTCGCTAATCTATTCCTTTGGTCTCTATGTCTATCCTTATGCCAGTACCACACTCTTGACGACCGGAGCTTTATAGGGAGTTTTGAAACCAGGAAGTCTGAATTCACCAACTTTGTTCTCCTTTTTCAAGGTTTACTTGGCTATTCTGAGTCCCTTGCATTTCCATATGAATTTTAGGATCAGCTTATCAATTTATGCAAAGAAGCCAGCTAGCATTTTGATAGGATTGCTCTGAATCTGTACATCAATTTGGATAGTACTGTCATCTTAACAGTATTTAAGTCTCTGATCCATGAACACAGAATGTATTTCTATTTATTGAAGTCTTCTTCAATTTCAATTTCTTCAATTTCTTCAAAATATTTTGTATTTTTTAGGCTATAAGTCTTGCACTTCTTTCATGAAATTTATTCCTATTTTATTCTTTCTGAAACTATTCTGAATGGAATTATGCCTTAATTTCCTTCTCATATTGTTCATTGATGGTGAGAAGAAATGCAGTTGAGTTTTGTATATCGACCTTGTCCTCCGCAACCTTGCTGAACTCATTTATTAGTTCTAATGGGTTTGTGTGTGCGCACGTGTATACACGAATTCCTCAGAATTTTCTATATACAAAATCGTGTCATCTGCAGAGAATTTTACTTCTTTTCCAATTTGGATGCCTTTCATTTCTTTTTCTTCACCAATTGCTTCTTAAATATTAGCTTCCTAGACATTTTCAACCCAAGTTTTAGTCGGCTGCCTGTGCCAAATGGTCTCATAACGGAAGCCCCTGCTCCTAGGGCCCCTTCTGACAAGCTGGCACCCAGGTTCAGTCCCCTCAAAGGCAGAGGCCCCCTGAGGTCAGGAGGACATTAGCACCACCCTCCCCCTCTGAGGTCCCATTCCCACTCCTGACTCAACGCTCAGAACACTAGGGTTCCACACCCAACTGGTCACCAATCCTTTACTTACCACCTTTCACAAGATCCCAGAATAAAGGAGTAAAAATGTACTGGAGTGAAATTAGAGGTCCAGGAGGAAAAAAAAAAAAAAAAAAAGCAACCCACCCACTAGGGGCAGCAGTGGGGCCAGGGTAGCAGGAGTGCCTGTGGGAGCTCAGGGGAGGCCCAAGGGTGGTCTGACGATGAGTCACCCTATCACCTTCCACCGTGGAGGCCACTGCCCCCTCCCAGGTCAGAATTCCCCACCCCGCTCAAGCTACCCCAGGTGTGGAGGGGTACAAACTGCAAGGTACCTTATACACATACATACATGGCCACCGAGGGGCGGACTGTCTGTGTCAGCACAACCCCAGCCCAGGGAGGCAGTCCTGACCCAGGCTGGTCACACAGTGGCTGGCTGCAAGCAGCTCTTCTGGCTGGAGCTGTGCCCGCTCAGGACAAAGGTGGACGAGTTGCTCTTCTTGCTGGCGCTCGTCTCCCCGGGCCGGCTGCCCTTCAGGTAGCCGGAGGAGCAGCAGAGGAAGCGCTGCACGAGTTCGTGGAAGAGGTGGCCCGTGAACAGCATGTAGATCCAGGGGTTGCAGCAGCTGTTGAGGCTGGCCAGGAGCATGGCTATGATGAAAGCCGAGGCTGGAAGGAGGGCAGGGGTGCGGGGAGAAAGGAGAAGAAAGCATCACTGCTGGAGCATTAACCATCATTTCCTGAGCCCAGCCTTTTCCAGGTGCCCGGTGCAGGGCCACAAGACGTAGTAGTAAAGAGACAAAGTCGGTCTTCCTTCCATATCCTTGCTCTGGCCGTGCACTCAGCCTGGCCCCCGAGACTTCCCAGGCTCAGCCCAGCCCTGGGATGCTCCCTGTCCTTTCTCCCCTCAAAAGCTCACCCACGGCGTGCCTCCACCAGCAGGAGCTGTACTCATCATGGCCACCTGTTCATTCATCACTCACCCAGCAAGTGTTGAGTGCCTACTATTCAGAGTGTCGAAGAGCAGAGTCCGGGACCTGCCAGACCTAGTTTGTATTCTAGCCCCGAGAGCCACAAATGACTTTAACTCCCCAAGAAACTGTCGTTTCCTAACCTTTAATGGGGATAACAAGAGCACCCAAACCTCGCGGGAATGCTGCAAGGATTAAAGGGTGCCTGGTACATAGTAAGTGCCCATACATGGTGGCTGCCATCACAACCATGTGCCAGGCACCAGGCGAGGCACTGGGACACAAAAACAAAATGAGCAGAACCATGAGATGGGCACGAGGTGAGTCAGGTGGGTACACTGAGGAGGGTACAGCTCTGAGAGCTAATCACGGCCAGCCCCACGGAAGCCAGCACTGGAGCTGACCCTGGAGGATGTTTCTGTTTCCCAGGCAGAGAAGCGAGGAAGAGTGTGCAGGCAGAAGGAATAGCCCAGGCAAAGGCTTGGTGGCAAGAAAATGTATGCTGTCTTCACAGGCGAGAATGCTAAGAGCATTTCTGCGAAGCTGCCCCTGGGAGCACAGCTTCGGCACGACAACAAGACACACAAGAACTGTGTCGAAGCTGTTATACTGAGGGTTTACTGAGTTCAGGCAGAATTAATGATCAGAAATCACCTTTGAGACATTGCTTGTTACAAATTTAAGCTTCAAGGAGGGAGAAAAATTCCTAAGTGCTTCCAAGTAGAGGGGAGGGAAAATCTGGGTTTCTTTCCATGGACGTAAACCTGACAAATGGTAGACTTCTCCCTCCAACAGAGCAGGACAGGCTGCCCCATGAGAAACCCGCGCAGCAGACGAGGGACCCGAGAATTCTGTCCCCAGCCTTACCCTTATGAGTGAGGGTAACTGCAAGAAGGCTGGGGAAATCCACTAGTCTTCAGTCTTTTCAGCGAAAAGTTTTCAAAAAATAACTCCAGAATTCGAGAGCTAAATTCAGGAAAAGATTTCTCACGGGGCCGCTGGAGTTGCAAGATCCAGACGCCACCATGGATGCAGAGCAGAGAGGTGTCCGTCAGTGAAGTCTGCGTGCACCAAAGGGAGGAGGGAGGTTGTGTGGAAGAGAATTCAGTGGTTCCCAGAGTGGGGTCCCTGGAACACCTGGGAGCTTGTTAGAAATGCCAGTCCTCAGGCCCAACCCCAGAACTCTGCCTCAGACTCCTGGGGGCAAGGCTCAGCAGTCCGTTGCAACAAGCCCTCCCGGGGATTCTGATGCACATGCAAGTCTTCGAACCTCTGCCCTAGTTACTTGTGCACCTGTTGAAAGCAAAGCACGCTACAACAGACCAACACCCAAAAATCGTGCAAAAGAGAATGTTTAGAAAGCAAAGGAGGGGAACCCAATTCTTAGACTAAAATAGTAAACAACAGAAAAGTGAAAGGAAAAAAAGCCAATGCTACAGCATTCCTCACTTTCTATAAAAGGGAATGAAAATAAACACTTGCTTTGATTTGGATGGGTAAGAAGAAGACGAATTTAAGTTTAGAAATTCTAGTGAAATATCACCAAAATTAAAAATAGAATGTCTTCGACATCATCATTAAACATCTAAAATGAAAGAGGCAAAATCTTACAAAAGTCTAAATTAAAAAAGGCACGAGAAGTCAACTACCACACACAAAGGGCAGACTACAGGTGTATAAAGCTAGAAAATGGGGCAAAGGAAGATTCGAGAATGAAGCTCACGCTGGGACAGAAAGGGACCACCTCTCCCCAGCTGTCCAGAGTTACTGTGCAGAAGCTTAGCTGGTCTTTTAAGCTTCTCGCCTCACTCTTTACATTTGGATCTTTTAACTTATTTATCCTGTTTAAAAAAATGAACAAACAAACCTAAAGAACATCAAAAACAAAAAAGTAAACGGTTATTGAAGTCCCGAGCAGCCACGTGACTTTTTCTACCTCCAAGCGGCCAGCCTGGGTGGGAGGAGTTTGGATGACAGCCAGCACCTCTGCCCCACCTGGTGGCCACAGACGCGAATGACCCGCCTGGTTCCTGGGGGATGGATGACTCGCTAAGCCGAACCTGCTCGTGTCAAGTTGCCAAATGCTAAGGGCACACCCGGACTTTTTAAAATTTAGCAATCTCGTAATCATTCAAAGATATGAGTCCCCACTGGTAGAATTTCAAGCCATCAGCATGGAGGAGAGCTCTTTGGAAGTAAAAAATGGGCTCTGGAGGGGGTCTCAGAGGAAGGAAGCAACAGGAATACAGGCACATAAGTGAGAAAGTGCAAGAGCATCCAGGCACTGCCAGAGTTGGGGAGTGGAGTTTCACAGAAGAGACTGGAAAGAGCCAGGCTGGGGAGGACCTTGAATCCAGGCTGAGTCTGAACTTTAATCTATAGGCAGTGGGGAGCCATTGATGGTTTCTGAGCGGGTGAGTGACTTACTGCACCTCACCGGCTATCGGCACTTACTGGATCTTGTTTAGGCCACAACATCGCCCTTTCTGGTGGCTGGAAAGGCTTCACAGGGTTGCAGAAGAACAGGAACAGCACAAAGCATGGAAAACATCGTCCCTGCATTTCACGGTGATGTTTCCACGGGAGCACGCGACAATGCAGCAACGTTGACCATCAGACTCACCGCTCAAGCTTACACAGAACAGTACAGTTTTCAAAGCAGCCTTATCCCCATGTTATAGATGAGGAAAGTGAAGCTCAGAGAAGGGAAGCGCCTTCCCCAAGGACACACAGCAAGTCACCCTGTGTTCCCACCTGAAAGTAGTGAAGTCTGATTCCATTTAAAACGAGGTCAGCATTCCCACGTGTCGGTTGGCTAACGGAATCCTCTCAGTCCCAAAGAAAGGACACAGGCTGGCTGGGCTATCACACCAAGAGGGACAGAGTCGCAGAGCAAGTTCCTGTTCCCTAAACAGATGGAGGCCCCCTCGGAGGCTAAGCGTTGCCCACTCCCCAGCAACAGGCTTTTAAAATCCAAGTGCACGTGGGAGGGAAAATGCATTGCCTCCTATCAGATCACCCTCCTTCTGGGCAGAAATGTCTCCTGGTCTAGGCCAGGGGCCAGCAAACTACAGCCCATGGGCCAAAGCCTGCCTGCTGCTTGTGTTTATCAATAAAGTTTTACTGGAACACAACCATGCCCATTCATTCACATATTTTCTATGGCAGCTTTTGCACCACAAAGGCAAAGTTGAGCAGCTGTTACAGAGACCTCATGTCCCACAAGCTTATAATATTTACTGCCTGGCCTTTTACACAAAAAGTTGGTCAGTCCTTGACCTAGATGCTGTAGGAGGCGCAGATGCTAAAACGTGGTGGGAAAGGGCTCAGAAAGGGGAGGGGCCGACCGCAGGGCCAGCTCAGCCCACTGCTCCCCACACCACCAGGAGCAGAACTGGATGGTGGCTCTGCTTCCGAGTTACCCGGACCTGGCACAAATCCTGGCTCTGCCACTTTGCACCTGTGTGTTCTAGGCCAAGTCCCTGAACCTCGGTTTCTCCAAGTGTGAAATGAGAAAAACAGAAAGAGCTTCTTGACAGAATCATTGCAAAGTTCAATTAGATGGGATGCCAAGTGCTCACCACGATTTCCAGCAGTCAACAACAGTAAACAGTTAATCAAGCTTAGCTATTGTTATTACCACAATGATGTGCACGTGCTCTGTAAATGTCACTTTTCTTATCAATAACATAGTTAGCACCAACACGTTTGAACCAATGGAGAGAGGCTGCTCCCTGGGCGGGGCTGTGTCCTGGAATCTGAGGCAGCCTAGAGTGGGGCAGAGGACATAGGACCCACTGGCTGAGCTTCTGGAAGCTGCACAGCCATTTGGCAGTGTCTGTCCAATGTGGCTCTTGAGCCAGAGTGCATGGCCAAGGGTTCAGCTTCTACGTAGATTCTTGTGCTGGCTCACAAGGCCCCACCACCAGTGTAGCCTTTGGAACTGGTCTGCCCTCTCACCCAGCTTGAAATTTCCTGATGGGTTTAAGACTGAAAGGATGGGCCATCTTTGGGGAGGGCAAGGGGGATGCCTGGGTTCCACAAAGTCAAGGTGGCTGAAACAATCACAGAGCATCGGATAGGAACGCTCTTGTCTCATTCCGTCTTCCTTGGGGTGCTGGCAATATCTGATCTTGCCCTGCAGATTTCAGGGCTAAGATCCTGAATTAGCTCACAGCCGAGCCTGGACATCCCAGCTGGGAGAGGCTGCTGTCTCTCTACTCTGTAAAATCGTCCACTCTCCTCCCTGCTCACCTGCATTCCAGCTCGAAGTTCTAGGCTCACGCCACCCTCCTGGTCTCCTTCTACACTGAAATCCTTACCTTATTGATTGTCTTCTTTCAAAACACAGCCACCCCTGGGTAGCTGCCCGGCAGACACTGACTGGAAAAGTGAGTTGGGGGACACTGCCTCAAGCTGAGCCGGCAGCTTTGCTCAGATGCTGGTGCACACGCTCAGGCCCAGCTCTAGGATCGTCCCTCGGCCCCACTGGCCAGAGAGCTGGGGGAGAAGGCTCGCAGCTGCATTCATCCCAGGGCATCACTTTGGCCAGAGGGTAACACCCCGTCCCAGGGGAGCCCATGTCTCATGACTGCTCCACGCAAATGTGCAAAGATCTGACCGTTTGCCTTCATTCAGGCTTCTCCGAAGGGCCATCCCAGCTCCCAAGCTCCCTGTGAGACTGGCCCCCGCCATACT